CAAAGGCACATTTAGAAATTTAGCAGTTTACATATTATAAAAACTAGACAAGAGATTAGGATTAACATTTGGAGTTTATTACGTGACATTGCTTGAACTAGTTTGGCTTAGCTGAGAGAGTTAACAGAAAAAGCCTTTTTCGTCTATCAGACAATTGCTTTCAAAATTAGCTGCTGACATTCATTAAATGAATACACTTTTTTTTGACATCTGGAAGCGCGTACTGCTGTACTGTCAAAATTAATGGCAAACACTTCATTTTTTAAGTAAGACTTATTCATTTGGAAGTCACCTGGCATTTTTATTTAAGTAGCTAACTTTTTTGGTACATGTAACCGCATCACCTAAAGGTATATTACCGCTTTCGGCGGTAGTAGTTGATTATTTTCAGAGGACACTTTCTCTAAAGAGTATTGCACTGTATAGAAACACTGTCCACATAGAAACTTTTATAGACTTAATAAAATATTACTAAGAAAAAGATAACAGTCCTTCTAATCTTCCTGGATGGCAGACGCATAGCTTCTGCACTTCCAATTTATAGAAATGCATAGAGTACTCCCTAAATATTAGCAGCAAGTAAAACCAACAGCTTTTTGAAAGGGAACAGCTTATTTTAGCAATTCCTTTCACTCTCTCCTTTACAACTTGTTCCGTTAGTAGTTTCAATTTAAAATGAAATGAATTATCGCAAACAACCCAAACTGTAAACGCTATTTGAGAATCAGAACAGATTTTGGTTTTGATGCCCGGTTTTTGTAGTGCAAAGTTGTAGTTCATAGCGTACTAGTAGGCAACAGAGGCCTTCACACCTCGATCATAGAAGGGTAAAAATTCACTGATTCATGGAATTTTAGATAAGATATCAAAACGTTAATGGGTTCCAGAAATCAGTGAAGCATAAGGAAATTGCACATTTTTGTTTAGAAGAGAAAGGTAGCTCAAATTTACGTTAACAAATAGCTGCCAGCTTTACATGTATAGGATTTAATTCTACTTTGTCGTTGAAAAATTTAGGAAATTTCATTTTTGGAATATGAGCGATATCATACGATTGCCGTAAAACGCATATAACCAGCTATGGCAACAGTACCAAAGCTCCGGTCACCTGCAGTATCGTTAGATGAATAGTACCTTGACATCACTGTTCAGTGCTTTCTGTTACTTTTGTTGAGATATCTGATTTGACACTACACAGCACACTAAATTACAAAAAAAAAAAATTATGCGTTACTTAATTTGGTGCAGCAGCCGCGTTAAGGAGTCATTTCCATTAGACTGGTTACCGCTTGGTTAGGCTACTTTCAAAAGCGAATTTCTTTTTATGAGGAAAGTATCAAAAGTTTTTCCTAAACAAAAAAATTTTTTTCATCAAATCAAATTTAATAGAACTGTACGTAATTTTCAAATGTATAAGAAATTTTGGTGTTCGACCGGCCTTTGCTCGATGCGTATTCAGCTATTCTGTGGCACGGTTCTGAATCATAACTAAAAGAATAAACATAATTGTCCTTTTATAGGAAGCCATAATTTCTCACGATGTTAGCCACTTGCCTCTAAAAGCAAAGAGTTTTCCTCCAAGCAGTACCATTCGCTTCAGAATTTTCAAACCTCAGCAGTGTAGGAAACGAGTTAAAAGAAGATGCTAGCATTGTCGAAATGTAAGTTTATGCAAATCTGTAGCAGTGAAAGGATTTACTCTACGGTTTTACTCGGTCATTGGAAAAAACAGGTTCAGTCTTTCATTCTACCTTTAAAAAAATGATTTTTTAAGAATCGAAAACTCAATATCTTTTAAATGTGTTATAAAATGAAGACCTTACATTTTTTTTTTCATTAAGTGTAACAAAGGATTTATAATTGTTTAATCTTGCAAAAAAAAAAAAAAAAAAAAAAAAAAAAAAAAAA